ACATGGCCTTCATGAACGAGTTCCTGGAGCTGGAGTGGACCAGCATGCAGCAGTTCCTCTACGAGATCTCCAACCTGGACACCCTCACCAACAGCACCAGCTTTGAGGGCTACATCGACCTGGGCCGCGAGCTCTCCACCCTGCACGCCCTCCTCTGGGAGGTCATGTCCCAGCTCAGCAAGGTACCCCATGGTAGGGGGGTCACCTGGACACCTGGGTCCTCTCCTGGGTGGTGAGCAGAGCCCTGGATGCCTAGGTTCTCCCCATGGGAGGTGATTGGGGTCCATCCACCTGTGTCCCACCATGGGAAGTCATTGGGGTCCCAGCCCCTTGTGTTCCACCATGGAAGGTCATTGGGGTCCCATCCACCTGTGTCCCCTCAGGGAACATCACTGGGGTCCCACCCACCCCTGGCCCCCAAGGGGAGGTCATTGGGGTCCCAGCCTGTCGTGTCGCACCATGGGAGGTCATTGATGTCCCATCCTCCCGTGTCCCACCATGGGTGGTCATTGGGGTCCCATCCACCTGTGCCCCTTCAGGGTGGTCTTTGGGGTCCCAGCCCTTCGTGTCCCACCATAGGTGGTCAGTTGGGTCCCATCCACCCATGACCACCATGGGAGGTCATTGGGATCCCAGCCCTCTGTGTCCCACCACGGGAGGTCATTGGGGTCCCATCCACCCCTGCCCCCCAAGGGGTAGGTTACTGGGGTGCTGGGGGTTGGTGGGGACCCGGCCCCCCCCCCCCCCGGCGCGCCAGCCGAGCCAGGGGGAGCGGCTGCCCCCCAAGGGGCTGGTGCTGCGGGGGCCCTCGGCCGACCTCCAGCCCTACCTCGTCCGTGACCTCAACAGGTGGGGACCCCAAGAACCCCTCTCTGTCCCCCCACATCCCCATAGTACCTCCACATCCCCATGGTACCTCCACCCCCATGGTACCTCCACATCCCCATGGTACCTCCACCCCCGTGGTACATCCACATCCCCATGGTGCCTCCACTCCTGTGGTACCTCCACCCCCGTGGTACCTCCACATCCCCGTGGTACCTCCACATCTCCATGGTACCTCTATCCCCCTGGTACCTCCATCCTCATGGTATCTCCATCCCCATGGTACCTCCATCCCCATGACATCTCCATCCCCATGGTACCTCCACATCCCCATGGTATCTCCATCCCCATGGTACCTCCAGATCCTCATGGCATCCCTACATCCAACCCCCATGTCCCCCACATTGTGTCCCCCCGTGTCACCGTGGTGTCCCTCCATGTCACCCTGGTGGCCCTCAGTCTCACCTGGGGTGTCCCTCCCCGCCGTGGATCCCTGTGGTCACCTGCCCTCTGCTCCCGCAGCTCCGTTGACCTCCAGTCCTACATGGTGCGGGGCCTCAACAGGTGGGTGACGGGGACGGGAGGGGGACAGGGATGGGGACAGTGGTGGGATGGGGACAATGATGGGATGGGGATGGGGTGGGTACAGGGGTGGGATGGGGATGAGGTGGGGATGGGCTGGGGATTGGACAGGGACAGTGATGGGATGGGGATGGGGACAATGATGAGATGGAGATGGTGGTGGGATGGGGATGAGGTGGTAATGGGCTGGGAATAGGGATGGGGTGGGGACAGGACTGGGATTGATCAGTATGGGGTAGGAACAAGGATGGTGAGGACGTAGGGATGGAGATGGGGAATGGATGAGGATGAAAGGGGGTTGGGAACGGGGATGAGATGGGGGTGAGGGTGGGATGGAGATGGAGATGGGGATGGAGATGGAGATGATGGGGATGGAGATGGGGATGGGGATGAGATGGGGATGAGGATGGAGATGGAGATGATGGGGATGGAGATGGGGATGGGGATGAGATGGAGATGGGGATGGAGATGGAGATGATGGGGATGGAGATGGGGATGGGGATGAGATGGGGATGAGGATGGAGGTGGGGATGGGGCTGAGGATGGAGATGGCGATGGGGATGGGGATGGAGATGGAGATGGGGATGGGGATGGGGATGGAGTTGATGGGGATGGGGATGGATTTGATGGAGATGGGGATGGAGATGATGGGGATGGAGATGAGGATGGGGATGGAGATGGAGATGGCGATGGAGATGGGGATGGAGATGGGGA